TAAGCTTTAGGGTTTAGGCTTCAGGGTTTAGGGTTTAGGGCTTGGGGGGTTTAGGGCTATCAATCCCTATACATCTCAGCTAAGTACGTGCTACTTGTGGCCCCCAAGTACGTATCATTTCACGGGTTGGAGCGTCAGGGATACTAACGTTTTCAAGGGGTCCATGAAAGTTTAGTTTGGAGTATGTGCTTAAGGCACAAAGGATTCCCATGGGTTGTACCTACTTTGGGCTCAAGTAAATAACCTATACCATCGCCCCTTAGGAACTATGTGTCTTTTGCATCCCGAAAATCCAAGGAAACGCTTCAGTAGTAGGGGCGTCACTGAGTGCGGCGCATGGCAGTGGGTCTATGAGCAGACAGAAATAAGCAAAAAGCAGCAGCTGCTTCGCACCAAATCTTCACCAAGACACCTGTTTAGCTCAGAGGCATCTACCGGATGCTACAGTAGCCTTGTTGCTGCCAATGGGCCCTCTGTAGCTCCTTATACTTGAACCTATATTCACTCCTAACTCCCGCTTAAATGGGCTTTTGCTTTCACATCCTCGGGGTGAGCCAGGCCTTTTCGTAGCGTATCATGTCTCAGGGAGGTGCTAGACCAGATCTGCCCGTTAGAGCAGACCGCCCATTGCGCCACGCGCTTGCTTCAATTTCTGTTGTCAGGAACCACATGAAAGAGGCAGGGATGTGCCTTAGAAATAAGAATCTGAGCCCCATAAAATGCCATGCCTACTATCCACTGCATAACCATGAGCTGAAAACTGCAGGCACACGCATCTTAGAAGAGTAGCACTGCATCCTAAACTCTTCTGCAGCTACAGAAGTCCCTTAGGCCCTCGGGCATGTCCCAACGGAAGTGACAGCGAATGGCTTCTGACGGTATTGCAGCGTGCCCAGTAATTATGGTGGCAGCAGCAGCAGCAGCAAAAACTGCTGGTAGCAGTAGTAGCAGTAGTAGCAGTAGCATGATAGTTGAAAGTAAGCAGGCAGTAGAAGGCCCGAAGTAGCCGCCGACGCCCCAGGCGACACCCTTGCCACACGACCATGACCACTGCCAAAACCTTTGCAGCGGCACCACAGGGTTTTAGGGTTTAGAGTTTAGGGTTTGGGGTTTAGGGTTTAGGGCCTCCGCCCTCGCCGCCCCTTCCATCACCAGTGATGATGGTCTTGCAGTGGCCCCTCACCTGCCCCTTTGGAGTTTACAGACCTAGTACCATCGCCCCTGCGTCCTCGCCCTACTACTGCCGCTGCTGCTGCTGCTGCTGCTGCTATACTGCTAGTCCTACTACTTCGCCTACCAATAATGATACTACTCCTTCGATTCTTCCACTACAATTACCACCCACCAGTAGCGCCACCAGCACCACCAGGATGATGATAATGATGACGACTATGTGTGCTCACTGTATGAGCTCTGATTTTTTCACAATACCAGCTTGAGCACTAGCCATCACACCGTGCCGTGATGCCGTGATGCTGCTCTTTTCCGTCTTTGGAGAAGTTTTCAACCAATGCCCTCTCAATAGTCGTGACCTCAGCTGTCGGCTGCACCACGCCCAGACAGGTGTGGAGTACGGTAGAATGTCAAGTCCTGATTTAAACGAGCAGCTGCATTCATTCTCCATATGGATAAGTGGCATGCTCGGAACCAAACATTCTTTCCGAAATTGTGCAGCTAAGAAACAAGAACAGACAGGGGCAAGTGTATGCAATAATGAAAAATGTTGGGAACCATGCGAATCTATACTTTGTATTCTAGCACGGAACTTCCTACGGGTTTCCTTTGAAAGGACCCGCAGTCTGAGAGTGAAATCTACAAAAGATACCCGCTTCAGGCCCCTCAACTTTTAATTATGGTACCCCCACTGGGCTATTTGAGGTATAGAGTCCCCCTTCAGTAAATAGAATATGGCTTTGGGTATATTATAAGAAGATCCCCATATACCTCATATTCTATCTACTTGAGGGGGACTACAACCCTAAACCCTAAACCCTAAATAGTAGTTTCCATTTTCTTTTCCATTATCCCAATATACCCCTATATAACCCCTATATAACCCCTACATCCTTCCAGACTTTCATTGGGCAGACA